TGTTCCATTAAAAAAAATAAAGTTGCTAGGACTTTCTGATGGAAGTGACAACGTCGCAAAGCTGAAAATATTTTAGATCGATAGAACAGGTAAGGATATGTGAGAGTTGAAATTTTCAGAAAAATCATGCTTTGCGTTTTCCAGAAACGTCTAACCTACCATCGACCGTGAGTCACGCTGTATACAGTAATTTAGGTTTTTTTGGTAAAAATGAACTCATTACCATTCCTACTATGAGATACCATTTTATCCAGTTCATTCTGAATTGCAAAGTTTTCCAGTTCAGTGAATTGAAACTCATTTTCTATTTTCAATGTCAGACATTTCACATTTCCAAGATATCCGTGATAAATTCTTTGAAAGTTCCACTTTATTTTGAGTGGATGTTTCCATTTCATTAATGGACTTATCTCCAAACCAGCAATACATGACAATAATTTGGTTCAGTAGTCATGCCCAGAAACTTTTGATTTTCATGCAGGAATCTTTCCTGTTCTCAATAGTTTTGATTTTCGATGACCTGATGATATTACTGATGTGATATTAGTATTTTCCTGTGAATACTGTTCAGAGTATGATGTTTCCATGTGGTGGCTCAGTTGTGAAGGTTGCTTGTGTCATCCTCGATAGACCTATGATCAAAGGGAAGATTATTTTACTTCGCTTGATCTTTTTTTCTCACATTATTTTGGGATGTTTCTTTCTGAAGTGAAGTAGGATCTGTATCTGTTAATGTTTCCATACAACTAATTCAAAACAAGTAATATTCAAGTAATTCAAGTCTTCTTAGTGATAACTTCAATAACCGGCATTCTAAAATAACCCAGTAACGATATTACAGTTAGGTTAGTTTAGGTTAGGTCCAAAGTGAGTGGATCTTTTCGACCCTCGATAGACTCGATTGAATAGTTCAGATCATTCCTCTGGAAATGCTTACTCACTTGATGAATTGGTCGTGAATAAGAGTATTCTGGTTCTGTCATTTGGGAGAGGTGTTCCAATTCCATATTTTACGTCGATAAATGTTGTACTGCTCAGTAAACTACTGATCGTCTGCATCGGTTCCATTTTCTTCATAGTGAATTTCCTCAACCACAAGATTATAGAAATATCTTGGTTTTAATTAGTTCGAAGGAAAATACTAACAAAACGAGATTGTTGAGGCGATGCCTTATTCTCTCATGAAAACGTCTTCTTTGGAATCTACTGCAGCTCAGGTTGGGTTAGGTCTAAAGTTACTGGGTCTATTCCACCCTCGACCGCAACCCGCAAGGGTTTCTTGTGGCTCACACCTATTGACACTCGACCAAATGAACCCAGCTTCTTAACAAAGCCGATTAGTTTGTATGGTGAGTGGTTTTTCAGGTCAGATGGTAAGAGTACGGCTCTGCCGAACTCTAAAAACCTGATTCGGTCCCCAGCGGGGCAGGCATAAAGTATGTGCTCTGCTGTTTCATCATTTTCCAAACAGAGGCGACACAAACTGTCTTCTGACAGTCCGAGTCTCTGGAGGTGGTGATTCAAATGACAGTGACCTGTAGGAAGGCCTGTTAGACTTGGTAGTTCATCCCTACTGTACCACTGTTTGTTATCAAGCTTCGAAGGGTGGAGTGAGCCAATCCTGGAAGATTCTGCCAGAACTCCATGAATTTTCTTGCCATCCAGGTGTTCAATCTTTGTTTGGCAGAGCCTAAAGCGAGATTCGTTTTTGGCAATTTGCTACCAATTCAGATGTTACTCGGTAGAAGCCAAGAACTTCCAACGCCGCTTGACTCGTGTATGAGGTCGGATTCTTTCAGTATCTCCACACAGAATACAATAGCGTAAATTTTGCTCGAAATACAGTCGCATAGGTTCCTAGACATGTTGATATCTCTGTCCTGGGTCTTCGACTGAAAACACCTGCACCAGAACCGGAAGGTGTTTTTGATCCATCTGTGAACCAAAGAGTCCTTTTGTGAGGAAATCGACGAAATGCGTCACCAGCAGCCAGCACTGGTCAACAGAAGAAGTCCGATCCTGCTACACGACAACGCTCGTTCGCACGTTCCACAAACCATCTCCCGAAAATTGAACGAATCGAGCGTCAAAGTTCTGCCTCATCCGTTATACTTCACAGACCTCTTGCTAACCGACTACCACATTTTCAAGCACTTCGGTGACTTTCTCACCAGTGAAACCTTCAGAACCAGGCAAAAACGGCCTTCGTCAACTACATCGAATCCCGATGACACATTTCAATGCTGACAGAACCAATCGACACATGTTACGTTGGTAGAGGTGCACCGATTTAATCGACACATGTTACGTTGGTAGAGGTGCACCGATTTAATCGGGAATGTTCCTCCTGACGAAAATGAAGTGACATTTTGTGTATATAACCTATATTCCTTTATATGAATGAATTTCAAAACAACTGTTGTTTGTGTGGCTTGTGGAGGTTGTGGAACAAAATATTGTAAGGTCTCCAGCAGTGAGTGTAACAGCAGGGGTGCCTCAAGGGTTAATCTTGGGACCCCTACTATTCCTAATATATGTTAACGATATTCTACATCATATGAACCCCCTCAATACGATTCAGTATGCCGGTGACACTACTATTTATGAAAGTCACCCTGAACATGAATATCCAAAGAAACTAACTGAAAACGCGTTGGAAAAATCGAAAAATTTTTTGCAGTCAATAAGTCAAGCTTGAATGTCAAGAAAACTGAAACAATTACGTTCACACTGAAAGAACTGAATGACAGTCAAAAATCCATTAAGTTTTTGGGGGGTAACGCTGAATCAAAAACTGAATTAGAAAGACTACATCAAAGATCTCTCTACTAAGCTGTCCAGCACTCTTTTTCTGCTTCGTAGAATCAATGAATTTGATTCCTCTTATGTTTCGAGAGTAGCTTACATGGGGTTATTTCAGTCTAAGCTGTCATACGGATGAGTTTTTAGCGACTTTCAACTGATTGGGAAAGGATATTCATTTCACAAAAAACGGCTATTAGAATCCTGGGAAGAGCGAAAAGAACTGACAGCTGTAGACCTCTATTTGAAAAATTTAATATATTAACCATTACGGCTCTATATATATTTCAATGTCTTGTCTATATCAATACACAAAATAACACCCCTCAAGTTAATCGCAACCATGAATATTTGATCAGAAATGGCCACAATCTTCTTATGCCACAACATCTACCACCATATATGAGGAAATTACATATGATTAAATTGAAAAAAAGTATAAAAGGGCTGCTGGTGAATCTCTGCCCTAATGACATAAGTGAATTTTTCGACTGCAATTTTTAATGATTTGCCTTTTAATTGTGTATGTATTGTGTCTGTATCAATGTGTATGTTTTGTATTATATTCATCTACCTTGACGATGCTTAATCTGTTATATTGATAATAAGCAAATAAATTGATTGATTGATTGAGTTTTCATAAAAGAGCTGTAAAACAACGCATTTTAAACTTATCATTTCAACCTTTTTCTTTAAAAAAATATTTGAATACTTCAAAAAGAGGAATGAAATAATGCATTCAACATTTGAAGACTCGTTTCTATTTCACCATTTGGCAACATCGGTTATAGCTAATGAAGGACAATGAATCTGTTACCTGTATGAGACAAACAAAGATGACATATTTCAGAGGCGTGCTGTTCTGTTTACTTATGTTTCGAGTTCCGAGACATTCTGTGACATATGACATTTTGTGCACCTAACCTATCTAGAAAAAACAATCACACCTTCTGAAGCATTTTCCATGAATTGTTTGATTTTTATAGGTAATGGTTTTAAAGAACCCACATGATGTCCTCCTATATATTTAATACTTGGTTGGAGTGGCAGTGGATCATGGATACTGATGTGTGAAACGACGAACATTAAACTAGCATTGTACATCATTGTTTTGAGATCAGGGGCATTAGGAAATGCAGCTTTCAACACAGCATTCTGTTCTGGAATTGATCTGAACTCCATATAAATGTCACAAAGTATATCCAAAAATAAATTCGTCACCCTCTCCAAGAAGGTCATTCGTGAGCCGTGAGTCGTTAAAAAATTTGGGACATACGATGAAAAAGATGGATTCGCAAGTAGATGGCTATTGAAAATCGAGGTTGGTCCTGTGGAAAAGTACACCAGAGGACAATTGAAATGATGAGCAAATATTGTCATTGCTTCGTTCCAGAAGTGTTCCATTATCACCAAATCAAACTTCTCACCAGAGTTCAGGAGATTTTGAACGTTTTTGTGTTTCAACACATTCTCTGTATATGTTTTACCAAGAGTTGACATGAATACCAGTTGATCCCAATAGTTCATCTTTCCAAATCTTTCTAAGTCATTTACGAATTCTGAAAAAAAAAAGTTCTATAGAAAAAGTTGATCACACACCAAGCACCGAACACATACAAAACACCATGGAAGTGAGAATCTATTCTCATGCATATCCTACAAAGAATGGTTGTTTTATTTGGTTGAAAAACATTCAACTAATTCATATGAGAATAGTCCATCCTATGTAGGGGCAAAGCTTTATAATAATCTTACCGATTGCATAAAAAGCGAAAATCTGAAGAAGAATGTCGAACAAACCCTGAAAAAATTCCTGATTGAAGGTGTTTTCTACAGTGTTGCTAAATATAGAGGTCTGATGTGATATTAGTATTTTCCTGTGAATACCGTTCAGAGTATGATGTTTCCCTGTGGTGGCTCAGCTGTGAAGGTTGCTTGTGTCCTTCTCGATAGACCTATGATCAAAGGGAAGATTATTTTACTTCGCTTGATCTTTTTTTCTCACATTATTTAGGGATGTTTCTTTCTGAAGTGAAGTGGGATCTGTATCTGTTAATGTTTCCATACAACTAATTCAAAACAAGTAATATTCAAGTAATTCAAGTCTTCTTAGTGATAACTTCAATAACCGGCATTCTAAAATAACCCAGTAACGATATTACAGTTAGGTTAGTTTAGGTTAGGTCCAAAGTGAGTGGATCTTTTCGACCCTCGATAGACTCGATTGAATAGTTTAGATCATTCCTATGGAAATGCTAACTCACTTGATGAATTGGTCGTGAATAAGAGTGTTCTGGTTCTGTTATTTGGGAGAGGTGTTCCAATTCCATATTTTACGTCGATATATGTTGTACTGCTCAGTAAACTACTGATCGTCTGCATCGGTTCCATTTTCTCCATAGTGGATTTCCTCAACCNCAATTTTGGGTTTTTGTACTAAAAATCGTAAAAGTTCCCATAAAAATCAAAAACGCGCAAGAAAATAAAAATGTTTGTATGAATATGTTCTACATGGGCTAGTGAAGGTTTTTGAAGGTTTTCACCCAGCTACCAAACACCCTGTATATTCAGTATACTATTTTGATTTTCTCTTATGTTTGTGTGACATTTTTATATAAAGTTTTGTTATATCTCACGTTCTTGTGAAGACTTATATGAATGTCGACGTATCCTATATCACTTTATGATACAGCATTCGATAAATTTTTATTATTATTATACGGGGTGGCCATTTTTACAATCTGATTATATGGGTAACTTTCGAACTATAAGATGGAAAGCTTGTTCAATGGAGAAGAAATTGCAGTGTTAAAAAAAATCAGGTTTCGAAAATACTGACAAAAATCAAAATCCATCAATTTCGTTGTTCAAGTTTCATGTTGCTATTTGGGATAATATCAGAAAAAATTTCGAATATTTCTCATTCAAAAATACATTTTTCTTAATTTTCCAGTATCATATTCACATTTCAACGTTTGGTATTATTCGTGCCATTATCAGTTTTTTCAATACAGTTTATATCATTTCATGTATAGAATCAAACAAAAAATACAGAACAAGGATCAAACTACAACAACAAATAAAACAACACAATGATGGATAGCATTCATATATATAGGTCACCAAACCATCTAACGAACTCCTCTAAACCCCTGAAGCCAAACACGAGAATAACACTAAAAATAAACAGCTATAAAAAAGAAAACGACAAAAACCTAAACGAGCATACAATGCTCGGACTGCAACAAATTCTATATCGGCCAAACCAAGAAAAAAGAAAAAATTGATCCAAAGGTACGACGAGCACAAAAAGGTTTGATAAACCCCATAATATATAAATCAAACCTCGCAACACACGCCATACAAAACAAACATAACTTTTCCCACCACATAATACTCTTCAAACAAGTCAATGAAGGAAACCGTATGGACATCTGGGAAAACTTAAACATCCATAAATTAAACAATCATAATTCACTTATCGAGGAACAAATACGAATCAAAACACAACAAGACCTAACATTCAATATAATACACAAAACAATACACATTCCTAGAAACAGTGAACCTAGAGAAAAACCACCACATGTAACTCAAATACAGGTAAATTTATTTACAGTAGCTGAAGTACCTGCACTTAAACGTTCTGACCGCATAAAAGAACAAACGACAGGATGAAATGTTCAGTTGATATTACAGATATTGTAAATACTATAAACAAATCCTTGATACACCAATAGGAACTACTATTTCTCCTATTATAGCTCAATACGTAATGGACGGTTTTTTTGAAAACATACTTCTCAAACTGGGTTTTGAAATTTCTTTCTTAAAGAAATACCTTGATGATGTTATTTGTGCAATACCGACCGTTGTCAGTGTTATAAATGCTCATTTCTTATTCATTTATTTTCTGAAATGAATTTTAGCAGCGGCTGTCAACAGATGCAGATTTCTTCGCATCAAATTTTGAATATTAAGGCAGGTCCGAAAAAACTGTAGGGTTCGTGCCGAACGCACGAGGGCCGGTCTTTTGGAAACCTAACTACACCGTGTACCTTTTTGAGAT